CATTACGCATATGTTTAAAGGTTTGTAACTATTTCTAATACAATTTTACATGTTATACTTAATCAGTTGTTTCAAACCGTCACATGTATTTGTCTCATATATTTATCTTGATGAATTTACATTTGTTTACTAATTGGATATATTAACATCAAATATATTAATTTATCAACTTAGTATACTTTCATCCTATTTAATTCAGTATAATTATTATTTTAATATGATAGATTATGACTATAAAATAAATAAAATAGGATAAAGGTTTTATTTTTCATTTTATAAATAATAACTGAAAATATATTAATGTATAATAATATTTTATTATTAATTACAAAATTAGTGAAAATATTTACATAAGATTTTTAAAATTGAGATCTTTTTAAAATATTTTTCAGCAAATTTGCTAATTTTTTAAAAATATATACATATTTATATTTAAAATGAAAAGATATCAAAAGATATTATGATTAAAATAGTTACATAGATTTTATATTATTAATGTTAAGCAAATACATTTATAAATGTCTACGGAGAAACTACAAAATCACACATGAAATGATATTGTGACTTCTATTTTAATAGAATAGATAAAGTACTCTACAATCCACCCTAATTGAAAATGCTAATGTTTTGAGATTTTAAAATTGTAAGTCATTTTACTAAGTTTATTAGCTAAAAGAATAAAAAAAACTCAAATCTCATGTTATTAGATAAGATTTCAGAGTGGCTTAACAAAAAACATATTAAGCTTTTCGCTTCATATAAAATCATCTAAAACTCATTACCAATCAAATTATCTTAAGGAGAAATTTCATTTTTACCACAACTTTTTACCACTTTTAAAATTATCATTAATGAATGAATGTTTTCACAAATACATTAATCTGTGATAAAATAACATTAACTCCATCTCCTTAATACTAAATCCTAAAGAATCTATCTTATTAAAACATAAACATTACAACTTTTTATAGGTGAATTTTTAAGTTGGACCGGATATTATTAATCTATAGTCTAATTATGATATGATATTATTTTTAGTAGAATATCTAATAAAAATATATTCTACGCCTATATTTCAAAACTTAGACATCGAGATCACATATTTATTGCTACTGTGAGTTTCTGTTATGGTTTCCTAGATACTCTGAAACAAAATTACGTAAAATGTCTACATATTCCATAACAACTAAATTTTAGGTATGCTCTATTTAAAAAAAAATTGATCCGCCTATTCTTTTTCAATATATACTTACCTACAATATAGGTAACCATTAAAACCGATTAGTATTATCCTATATTAAATATATGTAAATATTAATTAGTGGATCCCACGTGTATACTATATAGAAAACCCTACAAATCTCTATCCATCTATAAATATCCAAGCCAAGACTCATATAATCGACCATCAACAAAAACTCAAATCTCTTTCGCCATGACTACGAATAACAGTTTTTATTTACTCAAAAAAATTTGCACTGAACTTTTATGATATTATTTTTTATGTTTTTTATTTAGTAAAATTATCTTGTTTTAGAATATTAACTATATATATATACATATTTTTTTTGTTTACTGATTCTAATTTTGGTTTACGTGCAGATGAACTATCATAATGATTCCTTTTTGAATCATATGATAATCTTCATTTTCTTTAGTTTTTTTCCTGTGAACTAAACATTTGTCTTTTTTTGGAAGAATTAAACATTTGTCTTTTCTATAAATCTTAAGTAAATTCATTATCTTCACATTTCACATTTATTTTCTAAGTTAGATCTAATCATGATCATTTTAATGTCACAGATTTATTTCATTGGAATAACTATGGAAAATATAGTCGCTACAAGAATCCAAAATATTTGATATCAACCTTCAAACACTAGATTGTATTGGTAAGTTTTTTAAAACTTCTATTTTCAGTTTAATAGTAGTATGACGTAAACAACAAATAAACAAGAACCAATATTTATTTGTTAAATATTTATATTTTTATCTTATATATATTTTACATTTAAATATTTGTTATAGAACATGTCATTCAAAAAGTTGTTGCAAAATCAACTAACGAGATATCTTCTCTCATAATTTCATGTATTTAATATTTAATTTTTATAGTGAAATCTTCTAGGTAAGATTTTTAAGTTAGACTTCACATTATTAATGTAATATTATATGTTTAATTAGTCTAATTACGATATGATATTTCGCGGGTATCTATTCTTTAGGAAGTTACTGATATTTCAGTATCTTATAATTAATAAGAAGATAATTTTACTTCACGTTTAGGAATTTAGTCATATATCCGCATTCAACTATTAAATAAAATGTAATTTACATATATAGCTTCTTATTCTTTAGAAAAATCCCCAGTATATATTTTTTTAAAAAAGAAAATCTTGGTTACAATTAAAACTTTTGATTTGTTATTAATTATAAAGAAGAATTTAAATTTAATAGTTCTTATGTTTACTTCAAAAAAATTATAAATAAGAATCAAAATGTATTTACTTGGATACAAAAAAATATTTACTTAAAAGTAAAATTCTAAAAGTTAATAAATATATATAATATTTGATTATATTATTACAAATTATGCTTGATGTTTTTACAGTTGAAAATTTTATGGGTTATTCTATGAGGCGTACAAAATAGTTATCAAATAAAAAAAAAATAAAAAAAAAAAATTTGATCATTTTTATAATAACATATTAACATATACATTAATCACATGAAAGAAATTAAAAAGATTAATTGTACCTAATTTCAGTTTTAAATATTTTAGAATAAAGATATACAGTTGTACTATTTTGATTTTTATATGAAAATAATATCCACACTTTGAAATATATATATATAAATATATATATATATATATATATATATATATATATATATATATATATATATATATATATATATATATATGTCAAGTAAAGTTTCAATGATTTGGAATACATTTTTTGAAATATATTTGTGATAAAATATATTAAACTTTTACCCATTAATTTAAACATGGTGGGTTCATGTATAATGTTTCTCACTTGCGTGTCAAATTTTTGAATGAAAAATGATTCAATTCGTAGCGGAGCGGGTCGACCCACAAACCCAGCAATATTTTATATTATGATACGTATAAAATACTATTAATTATATGATAACACGTATATGATATATAATACTGATATGAAAAACAAATAACAATAGATTTTTGAGATAAATACACCCGTGCGAGCGCACGTGACAAAATATAGTAATCGTTAAAACGTAAACTTAAATGTTAGTATATTTTTTTAATGGTGATATTTTTGAAAAATGATATTTAACTTGCAGAAATTCTAACAATTTCTCTAATTTTAACCTATATATGGAATACAGCCCCTAAGAATCCCCTATCTATTATATTAAAAGAGAAGTCATGACTCACTTCATGTGTGATATTTTAGTTTGGACCATCTCTAGAATTTTATAAAATTTTACATAACATTATAATATCTTTTCATATCTTTAATTTTTGTTTGAAATACAAATAAATTGTTTTAATAAAATTCTAACAAAATCTTTTAAAAATCTTTTAGAATCTTTTTTAAGATATAGTTTCAAAAATTATTTGATTAAAATTTTAACTATCATAAAATATAATTAAAATTTTAATTCATTTTTAATTTATAAACCAAAAATTAAAATTATGTAAAATACTTTTAACAATATCCCAAAAAAAATTATGTATTATGTAAGTCCAACTTAATTTATTTTACATGATTTCAAATTTAGAAATAAAACAAAATATAGAAATTGGTAATCTTACATAATAATGTTTTTAAAATTGTTACAAAAATAAAATTTATAAATTTTATATTAATAATATTATAAGTCACATAAAAATTATTATAAAATTAGATAGCATACAGAATCAAATTATACTTATTTACTGATAATTTTTATTATATAATTTTAAATATTTTTGTATTAAAATACCCGCATGGTTGTGTGGGTCGAAATCTAGTATATTATTTAAGAAGTGATTTTGCCACATATCCTCTCTACAATCATTTTCAAAAAAATAATGTGACATGACTTCTAAAATTGATAATATGGCTTATAGGTTAATATGACATGGAAAATTACATTTAATGTTATTTTATATTTTTGATAAACTTTTTAAAATATGATAATAACTCATATATTACATTTAGTGTCAAATTATATTTTTGGATTTTTTAGAATATGGTAATAATTCACAAATCATCATTAATATATAAATATATATATATATATATATATATATATATATATATATATATATATATATATATATATATATATATATATATATATATATATATATATATATATATATATATATATCTTCAAATATGGCATTTCAAATATGATAATAATTCATATATTACATTTAGTGTTGATTTATATTTTTGGATTTTTTTTAGAATATGGTAATAACTCAAATTATCATTAAAATAAATATATTCAAATATGACATTATAAATTTCGAAATATTTAATTAAATATTTTTAAATTATAAAATTTTATTACTACAAAAATGTATACAATTTTTTAGAAAGTTATAAAAATGTAATCGTAAAATCATTAATTTCTTATATAAAGAAATTCCCTAGGATAGACCTAAAAGAGTTTTGTCACGAACATAGACCTTAAAAATAAAAGTGATCAAAATAGATCACACGATCCAGTCGATATGGGCTTAAATTAGGCCTAGTGGGCTGTCACTGATCTTCTTTTTTTTTGTTAATATATCCGAACAAAACTGATACAAAATTTTGGATGGGAAAAGCGGGAAGTCAGAGAGTGACTCATTTCTAAAACGAGGGTAGGACCCACTGAAACCATAACGTAGTTAATAATATTTTAATTTCAATAGAAAAAAAAAAACATTTTTGTCCTTTTTCGAAATTCGAACAGTAAATTAGCATTTTGTTTCCGGCGAGAAGATTCAAACGTCCGTCTCCGTTGCTTGCAGCGCCTCGACCCTCGAAAGGTTTTATCCATTAACTTGATGGGTTCTTAGGGTTTTTGATTTGGATCTGCGTAATTGATTTGGTAGACATTGTAATTGTTGTTTAACAGTTACTGTTTAGACCTCAAATAGGAGAGCTAGTCTTGTCTTACATTGAAAGGTTGTAACTTGTTAGGAGGGTTTTAGCTATTGTTGAAATTTATGGATATTAGGGTTTGGTTTCACTTCTTTTTTAGGTTCATGGTCTTGACAAGCTTCCTTTGTTGCTGGCTTACTGGTTCTTTTTTTCTTTAGGGTGTTCTCACAAGTACAAGCTGCTGCATAATCTCTGAGTTTAAGTGAACAGTAATTTGAAACAGGACGCCAGTATGAGTGGTGTCTATGCTCCCTCAGATGGAACTAGTTTTCTGAGTTTCGACGGGTCAGAAAGCATGGAGGATAGTAAGAAAGGTAATGTCATCTATCTACTCATTTGCTTGTTTCCTCAGAGGATTGAAACCGAGTTTTTGAAGCATTTATGTCTCACTACTCGAGTTTGACAGGATTATTCTTACATAATAATCTTTGATTTTATCTCTCATATTCCAATGGGTTCTTGGCAGAGATGAGCCTTTAAGCTTATTTTTGTTGTAGGTGGAAACATAAATGGACGATGGCTTCTGTTCTCACCCGTCTTTTGTTTTCTTATTAATTTTGCTCTCAGGTTATCAGAGTTTGATGGAATGGTTAAATCAGACACTTCCTTATTTGAATTTACCATTGGAAGCTTCAGAGGACGAACTGAGAGAATGCTTGAGGGATGGAACTGTTTTGTGTAGCCTTCTGAATCAGCTTAGTCCTGGTTCATTGAGAATGGTATTTATAAATTTTGATTTTCTTGACCATTTGGCTTATATATCTTTTCATTTCGTATTTTTTTTGGTGTTAAGCTTCTGGTTCTCTTTTTATTTCTTTCTTACATGCTGCTAGACTCACAGTCTTTGGCTATTCTATAGGGAGGCAGCTTTGAGCCTGCTTATGTAAAAATTGAGCGGTTTCTGACTGCTATGGATGAAATGGCCCTGCCCAGGTTCGAGGTTTCAGACATCGAACAGGTTTGTTATATTTTATGGATATAATTTTCCGTTTCTCTGGAAAAATTGATTTTTATATATGGGAACCTGGTTAATTATATCTATCACATAGATAAAGTGATTGTGGGTATACCACCTTGGCTTTGATAAATCAAACTAATTCAGTGTAAGTAATTATGTTAAACCAAGCCTCGTTTTGATATCTTCTGACAGCAACACTGTTGGCCATTGTTTGATTTGCTATTTTGATGAAAAGATTGCATGATTTTTCTCCCATATCTTTTCTTATATCTGCCCTTTCTTGTGTTTCTTTATTGATTTATGACTCCTAATAATAAAAAGTAAAAAATAGGGGCATATGGTGCCAGTTTTACAGTCCCTTAAGGCGCTTAAAGCAAGTTTTTCCGATGGTGGTTTTGATAAAAACTCACTATGTGCGACGAGGAGATGGAGCTTACCAGAAGACCACTCAGATTCAAGAGGGGAAGACCGCAACTTTCTTGATGGATTACAGTCGAAGGAAGAATCTGAGATTGATATTTCTGATGCTAAAATTTCAGAATTACTGAAATCGAACAGCTTACGGGTAAACTTTAGTCTTAGTAGACTGTGTCCAACCGTTTGATTTTACCTCTGTTTCTGATTTAAATGGTAATTCTTTGTCTTCCTAGAATGCTCCTACTCGGTCACTGTTTGACATGCTGGAACAGCTTCTAGATGAGAGTGTAAAGAAGATGAATGGACATGTGTCTCATGTAAGATAAAGATTGAGCTGCTAATGCCACTCTTCTCTTGATTCTTGTTTGCTAGTTCGCTTACATTGTCATTCCTTAGTTTCATGAAACATTTGATTTTCTTATGATCCACATGCTTCATCCTTTTTCCGCCGTGTTGTTCAGGCTATGGCATCACTCTTGAGCGCACTTGTGCAAGTGATAGAACAGAGAATCTCAAATCAAGCTGACAACCTAAAGAATGTAAGCTTACCTAATGCTTTTCTTCTTTCATTTTTCCCGTGATGTACATACAATCCTTCTTACCATGTAATGAAACATGCTTATGGAACGGTTGCAGCAAAATATACTCTTTAGGGTACGTGAAGAAAAATACAGGTCAAGAATTAAAGTCTTAGAAACCTTAGCTGCTGGGACAACTCAGGAAAACGAGGTACTATTGTCTCTAGTTTCAGCTTTTCCTCTTCATTTTATTTCTATTTCGCTTATTGATCGGTCTTTCTGTTTTTTTCTTCCTTTGTTGTAGATTGTTACGAACTGTATGGAGCATATAAAGGTATCTTATTGATTCCATATGTATCATCTTCTTAATACACATTTAACTTTTAGTTTAGTGTTTTACATCTTGAAAAGTTGGTTGACGTTGGCCTTATAATTTTTAGCATAGTACTTGTGGAAAGTAACATTTAAACTACTCCTAGATATTGATAAAAGTTCAGTCCGAGAGATCGTATCATAAACTTGTTGTGTGTGCTCCCCCATAATTAATAACGTGACTACATACAACATTTTTCATTCGGCTCATGTGTTAAAGTTCTAAAGCACGAGTTTTTTGAATAATGATTTTCGGTTGTCTCTTTAGCTTGAGAAAACCAGAATAGAGGAAAGAGAAAGATCGGAAGAAAAGGATGTGGTGCGTCTAAGAAGGGAGAAAGAGCACACTGATGCTGAGATTCGCAAGCTGAAGCAAGAACTCAAGGTGGTGAAAGAAACGCATGAAAACCAGTGCTTGGAGTTAGAAGCAAAAGCACAAAATACTAAAGTTGAGTTGGAGAAGAAACTAAAGGATGTAGAGTTACAAGTTACCGATTCAACTAGGAATGTCAAAGAACTTGAGAAGTTGTGCCAATCTCAATCTCAAAAATGGAAGAAGAAAGAATGCACTTACCAGAGCTTTATAGACCACCAGTATGGGGCTTTGCAGGTTTGAATTTAAAATATAGTATTCTAAACATTGACTAACTCTGGTATTTTCTTTAGTGACATAATTTTGTGAATTATTCAGGATCTGAGTGCTACTTCAGTATCTATAAAGCATGAAGTCTTAAGAACGCAGAAGAAATACTTTGAGGATCTAAATTACTATGGTAATTCATTTCTGTAATCAATTATGTATGATTACTTCATCAATTTTTCTATTCTAGATTACACTTCATTGATATTTATAATCTTTTTCCTAGGCTCAAAGCTCAAAGGAGTGGCTGATGCAGCGAAAAATTACCATGTCGTCCTTGAAGAAAACCGAAGATTGTACAATGAAGTGCAGGAATTGAAAGGTAAAACACTTTTGAGGCAGTGTTCTTTCTTTTCATTCAGCCATTCAAGATATAACTTCTGTCCTTTTTCTTGCTTTCTCTTAGGAAATATCAGAGTCTATTGTCGGATTCGGCCATTCCTTCCAGGGCAAAACAGTAGACAAACTTCTATAGAGTACATTGGTGAGAATGGTGAATTGGTGGTTGCAAACCCGTTTAAGCAAGGAAAAGATACACATCGGTTATTTAAGTTCAATAAGGTTTTTGGTCAAGCAGCAACGCAAGGTTTTGGATCCTTTTCCCTCTTATGTATCTAGGTTAGCTAGTTATAGAGATGTCCTGAATTTTTTTATTAAATAAAATGCAGAGGAGGTTTTCCTAGATACTCGACCATTAATTCGGTCGATTCTTGATGGCTACAATGTGTGTATATTTGCGTATGGTCAGACAGGCTCTGGAAAGACTTATACAATGGTAAACTAGATGCTTGATTTTGTTCATTTTATGTTTTAGCCCAACATTATTAGTCTCTAACGTACATTTCTGTTAAAACAGAGTGGGCCAAGCATCACATCAAAAGAAGAATGGGGTGTCAATTACAGAGCGCTGAACGACTTGTTCCACCTAACTCAGATTAGACAAAACGCTGTTGTGTATGAAGTCGGTGTTCAAATGGTGGAGATATATAATGAGCAAGTTCGTGACATTCTTTCTGATGGTGGTTCCAGTCAAAGATATCCTTCTTTATACTCATATAGTAGCGAAATGATTCTTGGAAACTGTACATTCATACTTATGTATGTGTTTGCACGTCGATAAAGAATTCCCTTAACTTGCATACGTTAGGGATTTGGAATACTGCCTTACCAAATGGTCTAGCTGTACCAGATGCAAGCATGCATTCTGTGAGATCAACTGAAGATGTGCTTGAGCTGATGAACATCGGGCTCATGAACAGAACCGTTGGTGCCACAGCTCTCAATGAAAGGAGTAGTAGATCACACTGGTTTGTAGACTTTTCTCCTGAACTTGTTCCAATATTATTTAAGTTTATCAATGATTAAAGGAAAAGTAATGTTTCTCGTTCTCTGCAGCGTTCTGTCTGTTCATGTACGTGGTGTCGACGTGGAAACCGACTCTGTGTTGCGTGGTAGTTTGAACTTAGTTGATCTTGCTGGAAGTGAGAGGGTTGATCGCTCTGAGGCAACTGGAGAGAGGCTTAAGGAGGCTCAACATATAAATAAATCATTATCAGCCCTTGGAGATGTCATATTTGCTCTAGCGCATAAGAACACTCATGTGCCGTATAGAAACAGCAAATTGACGCAAGTTCTTCAAAGTTCTTTGGGTACTTTCTTAACCTCTTTAGAGAAAACATTGAGATTTTGGCTACACGTATTGCATAATATATTCATTAGCTTTATGTGGTTGTTTCCCATAACTCTTTGTGTTAATCGTCTTGTAGGAGGACAAGCCAAGACTCTTATGTTTGTTCAGGTCAATCCAGATGGAGATTCTTATGCCGAGACCGTTAGCACTCTGAAGTTTGCAGAAAGAGTCTCTGGTGTGGAATTAGGTGCAGCTAAAAGTAATAAAGAGGGACGAGATGTTAGACAACTCATGGAACAGGTGTTATTCTCTTTCTCTCTATCTCGTAAGATTTATTGTTGCCCATTAAAAAGTAAAGAGAAAAAACATATATGTATCATTATCTACAGGTATCAAACTTGAAGGATGTAATTGCAAAGAAAGATGAAGAGCTTCAAAACTTTCACAAGTCAGCAGGTAACAATGCAACCGTGCCAAAACGTGGTTTAAGCAAACTAAGATTGTTGGGTCCTTCATCGCCTAGAAGACATTCTATAGGAGCTTCACCAAATGCTCGACGAGGAAAGGCCTCTGGTTTGATTGGGAAAACTGCCTCAGATGTTGACACAGAATATAGTAGCAAGCATTCTGACTCTGGCTCTCCGCATTCATCTGACGAACTTAAACATCGAAATGATCGTCACCAACCATCTAAGTTTGCTGATAGGGGGAAAGACATTGACTTAGAAGACGATTTTGAACTCATAGGCCTTGCAGGTGCAGACTCTGAGGAAAGACTGAGTGATATCTCAGATAGTTGTCTATCGATGGGAACAGAGACAGATGGTTCCATAAGCAGTGTGGTAGAGTTGACTCTTTTCCCTGAAACCGAGAAGCCTCTTGAAATAACCGAACAACCTGAAGCACAATTGGCCCCTGGGAAACCCGAGAAATCAGTGAAAATGGGTAAAACTGACGCAAAAGAAAGGTTAGTATCTTTCTACTGGCACACTTTAATTGAGGAATCTGAATTCACCTACAGATTATAATGTTTGTTTTGTTTTGGTGTTTTTGTAAAGCAGAAGTAATATTCCATCAAAGATTCCGAAGCAGACCTTGAAACCACCAGGCCAGACCAGACCTTCTCGTCTGTCAGTTGCTGTCGCTAGCTCCTCCTCTAAGGCCTTAACAAGTAATGTCATTTTTGTCATAAAACCCAAATCTGTTTGCATAATTAAACTCAAGTCAGACTCTAATCACATGCTTCACAGCCTCGTTAGATTACTATGAAGATCATATGAAGTAGATGCTTTGCTTATCTGCAAAAAAAAATCTCACTTAGGATCTTTTGTTTCAGTTAGATCATGAGTCATCTAATCTTATTGATTTGCTTCAGGTGGTAAAAGACCGACAATTAGCACTTCATCTTCAGCAAAGCCACTCAACAGAAGGCGGTGAAGATTCATAGATTTGATCAGATGATGTTTGGTAGCTATGTGTAACTTAGAAAGCATATGATGTCCCTTTGTTCTTCTATGTAAACGAACTTTTTGTTCTTTTGTGTTAGTGTTAATTTAACCTGTCCACGTAAGCTTTCAAGGTTTTCCATATGATTTTGATGTTTTACATCGATAGAATTAAACCAAATTGCCCAGATTATATGGAAACATTTTTGTAATCGGGAACTTTTCCAGCTACTCTTATCACATGGCTTCTCCTTCTCCTATCACCTAAAGATTCAATGACTTTGTGAGCCTTCAAGGAACCATGCGTAGATTGTTTCCAATGCAAGTGGCCTATACGTTTGTTGTACTATAATCCATCACGTGGCGACACACACAATATCTTTTGTCAGTTTCAGAGATAAGGTCTTATTGATCTGTGTTGTTGGCCTCTTAATAGTGTGGACCATCATCACGTGTATCTTTATCAAAAGAGGACACGACGGTCCCATCAAAGTATCAGTGTAGCCTCTCTTCTTTGCTATCGGTATGGTAATCTCCAATTCCATGGACAACACTGCCAATTTCAAGGACACTTTACCTATAACAAAAATTCAATGGTGAACTCAAAAGAACAAAGACAAGTCTTGACGATTTCAGATTTCTTTTAAATAAGCTGTCCAGGAAACAAGAGAAAAGGGAAAGAGAGAAAATAGACTTTTGGTCATTTCTTGTTTCTTTTTCTCTTGTTTATGAACTAATTGGTAGAAAGAAACGGAGATATTTATAAATTATGCATCTTAGTTTTGACTAGGCAAATTATAGTATTATTTTCAGGTGATTGTTAAGGCCATATTCTTGTATAAGATAATGTTAATCTTTATTGTGTCTTCAATATTTAAATCAGATGAAACTATGAAAACTCTGAAGTTGATGCTTTTGTTTTGAAAGACTCGGTCTTACAATTAAGAAAGGCATATATTTTTTTTTTTTTGAATCGAATGTTAAATTCTATTCAAAGAAAAAATAATCCTTGTTTACATTTTAAAAATGCATCATATGAAAGAAAGAAATTTCAACTCTCAAATTTTTCTAATCCTTCTTAAACAGCTAGTCTTGTGGAAAACCAGAAACGAAGACCTCCTTCCATCCCTTTAACTTCATCTTGTTGAACAATAAAGAGTTTGTTCCTTATGCTTCTATCATATGTCTGATAATCATTTCTGAATTCAAAGGCTCCTCCCCATGTCTCCTATTGTTTCTCTCCCTCCAAAGACCATGAATAGTGGCCTGGAACACATACTGCAAAACAAACTGCTTCACTCTTCCATGACCTGTGTCTGAGATCAGTGAAACAATTTCCGACCAGATATTGGTGTAATCCTCTTCCATAACTCCTCTCATGAGGTTCCCCCAGATTGTTGCTGAGAACCTACATTCGAAAAATATATGGCTCCTTGATTCCAGCGATGAGTCACAGAAAGAGCAAGATGAGTTAACATTCCCTCCCCATCGAATTATTCTATCTCCCGTAGCTAGTCTGTTGTGCAAAGCCAACCACGCAAGGAAAGCAAATTTAGGCGTATTGTTGGAGAACCAAATACCTTTGCTCCAATCATAAACAGCACCTCTACTTCTCAACTGCTTCCAAGTTATTTTAGAGCAAAACTTATTCTTAAAAGTGTCACTACTTGCCTTCCACAAACCAATATCATTCTCTTGCGAATTCTTCTTTTTTACACTTCACTATCTCATCTTCAATCAAATTCAACACGGGAATCCTATGTCTTCTCCTGCGATGCATCAACATAGCTTCCTCCACAGTAGCATTAATAGTAATCCCCATATCAATATACCCGCGAGATCCTATAATGTCTTGTAAGCATCCCATAGTTGACCAGTTGTCATGCCAAAAATAAGTAGTTTTCCCATTACAAACTTCCACCTTATAAAAATTATTCGCCATGGCTCTGTACTTTAAGATCTTACCCCACATCCAAGATCCAGCTTGGGATTTTTCTCTTACTAACCATATTGAGCCTTTCCTGATCAGATAGGTTTGGATCCATTTAACCCATAAGGAATTTTTTGCTGTGAGAATCCTCCAAATAAGCTTTAGACAACAAACATTATTCGTCTCTTTAAGAGGCCTTATACCCAGACCACCTTCAAACTTTGGTTTACAGACATCTATCCAAGCAATCTTAGCTTTCATCGCATTCAAAGTCGGACCAGGCCACAAAAACGCTGAGCAGAGCTTTTCAATTTCTCTGAGACAAGATGCAGAAGTCTAAATGCAGAAAGCCAAAAGTTTGCCAAGCTCGAAATCACAGATTGAATAAGTTGCAATCTGCCACCAAAGGATAAGAACCTCCCACTCCAAGAACTAATTCTTGATCTTATCTTCTCAATGAGTGGCATAAAATCAGTAACAGTCATTCTTTTTGTAAGGAAAGGTAAGCCAAGGTACCTTACTGGAAGCTGCCCCGACTCAAAAGGAAATTCTGAAATATCTTCATGATTACTCGTTGTGGTTCCAGCCATATAGAGAGTCGATTTCTCCAAATTAATTTGTAAACCAGAAGCTTTCTCAAACACCTTAAACACCTCAAGAATCCCTTCTAATGATCGTTTTTTCCCATCAGCAAAAACCATAAGATCGTCCGCAAAACATAGGTGAGTCAAACCTATGTTTTGACATCTTGGATGGTAACCAAACCTTCTCTCAGTGGCTGCTTCGTCTAATAGCTTGGACAGAACGTTCATACTAATCACGAACAAATAAGGAGACAAAGAACAGCCTTGACGTAGACCCCTTTTACTCTGGAAATAACCTGCTAACTCCCCATTTACTTGAACTGAGAAGGAGGCAGTACTAATACAGAGATTGATCCAGTGAACATACTTCTCCGGAAACCCAAGAGCCTTAAGAGTATTCAATAAAAAAGACCATTGAACAGAATCAAAGGCTTTTGAGATATCTATCTTCATTGCACATCTAGCAGAGACTGATTCCTTGTGATAGTCCTTGACCAATTCAGTTGCCAACAAGAGATTCTCCATAAGTAACCAATCACTTATAAACGCAGACTGATTGGTGGCAATGAATTTAGGAAGAACTATCTTTAGTCTATTCGCCAGAATCTTGGAAATCACCTTATATAGCACATTATAGCATGAAATAGGCCTGTAATCTTTCATTTCTACAGCACTCTCCTTCTTCGGTATTAAAGCCAATATAGTAGAGTTCAGTCCCTTCGGTAAGAAGCTTTTCAGGAAAAACGACTGCACTGCCACTGTCACATCTTTCCCTACAATATCCCAAGTATCCCTGAAGAATTCACTAGTATACCCATCAGGCCCAGGAGATTTATCAGACGGCATAGAAAAGTGTGAGGATATTATTAAGAGTATTAAGAGTATCGTATGTCAAACTTTTTTTGACATAACTTAGAATACAAGTATGTTGATTCTTATTATTTATACAAGAAAATAGCACATCACACGTCACATAAATTCGTGGAATACCAATATAAACAAAACTTCATAATCATTGGATTGAATCATAGACCCACAAGTGCTAACAACGAAGTTGTCATGGTAATGAATATCTTCACATATATTTCGTTTCCTGTAATACAAAATAAACATATTAATGTTTGGGTTTTAGTTGCTTATTCTATTATCTTTCATTCTTCCTGATAGTTGTATTTTGTTAGGAAAAAATCTAAATAAACGACGTCATTTATAAAAGAAGAAAATATAAAGATTTCTATCTAAAATCTAAATATACACTATTTCAGCAAATAAATACACTATTCACCTTTCATAGCATGAACAGAGAATGAGCCGCTGGGTGACTGAGTTATTGGCAAACCGCTTGTGTCATACTTCAAAAGCCTTTTAGGAATATAGAATTGAGCTATGCGAGCATTGTTACAACAGCTTGAGACTCCTTGGACCGCAAGTCTCAAGCAGACGCTGCAATTTGCTTTTAATCAAAAATTCTCAATTATTGTATCAAATATCCAAATATGCAAAATATAAAAATATAAATTACTCAACATTAATATGTTAGTCAATAAAAAAAAAATCAATATAAAATCTAACCCTAAGAATCTAACCCTTGAATACATAATATGTTAGAATCTTTTGTTGATAAACCATAAACATTGTCTCACACATTGTTTCCAAATCAATATATACTAGGTGATTTTCCCGTGCTCATGCACGGGCTTAAATATTTAAGAAATAAATATATTATAATAGTTGATTGATATTTATTTTAAATTTTATATTAATTTATAGTTTGTATGTATAATTTGTATTAATAATATTGTATTATTTTAGTTATTATAATTTTATATATATTATATTTAGTCAGTTTTATCATTTGGATATATATATATATATATATATATATATATATTGGATTTTTTTCTATTTCTATGAATTCAACTATAATCTTTTTTATTCTAAATATCTTAAATTTTTGATTAATTATTTTATTTACATTTATGTTCGTTGTTATCTACGAAATATAAGTATATCTTAGTAAAATTATGTATTTTAAGATTTTTTGTGCTTAGAACGAAAAAATAAAAACTAAAGTGTCTGATTCTAAAATACATAAGTAATAATAAATTTTTAAAAGCTTATGAACACATATCAATATTTACAATAATTAAAATATTTTATAAATTCTAAATAATTTATGCAACAGATTGATTGGATGATAAACTGAATTTTTTTTTAAATAATTTTAGAAATAAGGAATTCTGATTTGCTTTAAGTATTAGATTATGTTTATACTAAATTCCACAAACATAAAAACATAAAATTAAACATCAAAAGAGTTATTAAGAAAATGGATAATTTTAACTATTAATTATAATATATCTACCTTGTTAAATTATAGTGTTATGATATATTAAGAGAATTATAGTTATTTGATCAAAAGATGTTTATTATTAAATTTATTTTTAGTTTTGTTTTTAACATCTATTAAAGTATGCAGTAAAAATGTGATTGTTTTTGAGAAATTATATTATATAAGTAAAATATAATTTATATTTTTTGCTGTAATTTTAAGATATTATAATCAAATAAATATACTAAAAAAATATTTCAATAATACTAATTATAATTTTTTGTCAATTAAACATATATCAGTTTATGTTACTTAATTATTTTATGTAATCATTGAATAAAATAGATAGATATATCAAAAAAATAATTAATTTGCAAATATATATTTTATTGTTTTAATTATTTTTTTAAAGAAAAAATATTTGTTTCCTAATATCAAGATTATTTGTATGAACTTTTTTAATGAAAACACATTATATACAAATGTTTTTTTCATCTAGGAAGATATAGATATAAAGTATTTTATTACTTAAAAGTATAATTTATGTTATTTAAAAATATATTTAAGTTAAATATTACTATTTTGTAAACTTTCCTTTTTAATGAAACCATATTATATATATACTTATTTTTTCGTTTTAAATAGTTTTGTAAATTTTATAAATATTTCCTTTTTTATTTAATTGTTATTTGGAAGATTTTAAAAAAAGAAATAATAAAATTTAAATATATATTTAATTCATTAGGGGTATCATAATAATCAACCAGCGTGAGAGTTAATGTGAGCGCGACACCTAAGAAAGTGACTTAATAATACTAATTATAATTTTTTTGTCAATTAAACATATATCAGTTTATGTTACTTAATTATTTTATGTAATTATCTAATAAAATAGATAGATATATCAAAAACTAATTAATTTTAAAATATATATTTTATTGTTTAAATTATTTTTTTAAAGAAAATATATTTGTTTTCTAATATCAAGATTATTTGTATGAACTTTTTTAATGAAAACACATTATATACAAATATTTTTTTCATCTAGGAAGATATATATATAAAGTATTTTATTACTTAAAAGTATAATTTATGTTATTTAAAAATATATTTAAGTTAAATATTACTATTTTGTAAACTTTCTTTTTTTATGAAACCATATTATATATATACTTATTTTTTCGTTTTAAATAGTTTTGTAAATTTTATAAATATTTCCTTTTTATTTTAATTTTTATTTGAAAGATTTTAAAAAGGAAATAATAATATTTAAATATATTTTTAATTCATTAAGGGTATCATAGTAATCAACCATCGTGAGAGTTAACGTGAGCGCGACACCTAAGAAAGTGACTTCTCAAATAATATTATAGAGATTCTTTTTACACTACAAAAAGGGTTAGTTTGAATCACTTTTTTTCTATATTTGTATTAGTTATAAATGATAAAAAAAATATTTTACATCACTTACAAAAATGACTTAGTTTTTGGTGATGCAAATAATTTTTATCAGTTTGCTCAAAATTGATGTAAAAATAGCTAATATTTCTATCAATTACTTTAAGTGATATTAGTAAGTGTCGGTTGGTAAAAGTAATGTTACTATTTACATCATTTGTTATAAATGATGTTTTGTATTAGTGTCAATTTAACAAATTGATTGTAATAATTTAAATCATTTACTATTAGCTGATGTAACGTTAATATCAATTTGTTCTAATTAATTTTGAATATTTTTACCAGTTACAATGATTGATGCTAAAGCTAATGTGAATTTCGTGAATTTTAAGATAATTTAAAAATATATGATTAATAATAAATTTATTAATAATCCTATAATTTTTTTAAAATAATTAATTATTTTCTTATTAATTAATACTTATAGCACAAATGGTGTTAATATTTATTAAGACTTTCATAACAGAATCAAATTTGAAATATATTGAGACAATTTGTATTAATACATCAAAATAAAATAGATGAATTGTCATTTACAAAAAATTAAAATTAAAAATCACAAATAATCAACCTACATTACAAGCGTGTTTATGTTCCTGTTTTGATTCATGTTTTTCATTCATCTGAGGATGTTGCTTCCATTTGAAGAATAAAGATTGTAATTCCCATGTCATCTGAATATCATCATCACACTTGAATACATTTCCAACCTACAAAAACTAAAGAAAGTTAAAAAGATCAAATCTCTTAGAACAATGATTCAAAAGTATAGATATCATAGAATTTTGAAGTACCTTTTTATGTTTCTTCAGACATGTAGAAACACACATTCTTTCTAGTGACCAGTAGCACATCGTTATCTCTCTCTCTCTCTGATCTTAAATTTCAGCATATGAAAACCATTCTAAATAATATAGAAAGAAATCAAAAGCATGATATAATATGAGATAAGAAAGTTAGAGAGATAATCATCCGATTTCAGGAAAAAAATTTTAAACTGTTGGAACGTTAAAAAGGGAGGGGAGTGATTAGAAAAATGAAAATCCCTATATTTATGGCAACAAATTTATTTTTATTGGCATGTCACTTATTTAAAAAGAATTACAATTTATTAGCAGTTATGGTTTATTAATTCAAAATATCAAATTTATTTAAATAATATTAAAAATCTCTTTTAGCGCTGGAATTCATTTCAGCAATGAAGACTTTTAAAATGTATATGTACACATATATATAATATATATATATATATATATTATTAAATGAATTAAAACATTTATGAATTGTTTACAGGAAATACAGTTATATATATATATATATATCTTTTATTATATAATCTCAGATTATTAATATTGAATATTTTAACGTAAATACAGTTTATGCATTAATATTAACTGAACTATGTTTGTATCATTTTACTATTGATGTAAGACTTGCTTCTTTTATTTAAATGATGTTATTTTTCATCAATTTATTAAGTAATACTAGCAAGTTTTTTTTCATATGTATCAGTTATTTAAATGTTGTTAATTTTGCATCATTTTATTAAGTAATACTAACACAAATTTTCATATGTATCAGTTATTTAAATGATGTAAACTCCTATTTTATATCAATTTTTTAAAATGATGTAAATGAATATATATTTGTATCAACTTTATTGAAGCGATGCTAAATAAATTAATAATATATCATTTATTATGAGTGATGTTATAAAACATATTTTACATCATTTGTTAATAAATAATTCAAAACAGTATCACTTAGCTTTCTGATACTATTTATGTGATGCAAAACATTTTTTTGTAGTGTTAATTGTTCATTTATATAAAATTTTAATTTATATATTTCATATTAACTTTTATACTGATGATTAACTAGAACTTTCACAAAAATTATTTTAACACATTTTTAAAATTAAATTATCAAATCAAATTACGATGTAGACTACAACATAAGTCTACATCGTAGACTTCTTAGTAAGACTACATATGTGTAGACTTCTGAAGGACATAATCGTAAGATATTTTTTTAGTTTTTTGTTTAGTCATAATGGTTAAATAGTAGTTTTACCATCTTTTTAGGTTTGTTTTGCATTTGATTGAATAAGAGGTACACCTTTATGTTTAAAATGAATATATAATTAATTATAAATTAAAAATGAATTTCATTATTTTGATAATTATCTTTATATAAAAAATCATACTGTTTTGGAAAAAAAAAATATTTTACATCATAATATTTATAGAAAAATTAAAGAAAGATAAATCTCTACATATATATTCCATATATAATTTTTTGTATACATTAGTGTTTTCAAATTTATTTTACACTATAAAAGATAGTTTTATTATACTAAAAATGTTGGCATATCTAAAATATGCATATGAATATTTTAAACATATGAAGATTTTCAAGTTTATTTTATGTAAGGAAAATATTTTTGATATGATGAAAATTTTTTATATAGAATAATTTTTTAATTTATTATTAAATATTTTGAACGTATGAACAACTTGTTCGATGTGTTTTAGTTGATAACATATCAATTTACAAATATTAGTTAAATTATTATGCTCATATGTGTGGAAAGAACACCTAGTTCTATTTTAATAAGAGAGATATTAATTTTAATATTAAAATAAGAAATATTTTAATCGTACGGACTGATTAGTAGTATATTCTAAAACATATAAAATGCTAGGAACTTAACATTTTCCTTTGTTTTTGGATCAACACATAACGTTTCTTTACTTTTATTAAAATAATTTATAGAAGTAGACTATTGGAGGTTTGGAAGGGCAAAGGAAGCTGCTATGGAAAAAAGAAAAAAGAAAAAAAAGAGAGATGGCGATCTTCCAAAGAATGGTTTTAAAAATGACCGGTTAATACTACTAAAAATTTCAGTAGTGAATATTGAAATTCAGTTGTGAATATTGAACTGCTTGATCTTTATTAAAAGTCAATGATGAATAGTGAACACGGCAAGAAACTGCATTGATCGTTCTCAAAACGCCAATGGTGTCTTTTTCATTTTCTCCATCATATTCATATATATTAACGGTACATCCAGAGACAGAGAGACATCTTATTTTGGTTTGTATATCTTCTGATCGTGAACTTTTTTTTCTGGCTACTCTCTTTCTCATGGCTTCTACTTATAATCATCCTATTCCTAGAAGATTTAATGTCTTTTTGAGCTTCAACGAACCAGACGTCCTCCTTTATAAACCTCTCAGTAATTTACGCCGACAGTTGAACGACCTTGAATATCTTTTACCGCAACGACTCACTGGTGGTGATGTTATAAGGTATCTTAATTTTCGAGACCATACATTTAAAATCTCCATTAGAAAATCAAGAATCTCGATGGTGGTGCTCTCGAAGGACTATGCTTCTTCCAGCCAGTGTTTGGATGAGCTGTTGGAGATTTTGAGGTGCAAGGAAGAAATTGGACAAATTGTGATGATTATCTTCTACGGAGTAGATCCAGCTGATGTGCGGAAACAATCTGGAGATTTTGGGATTGCTTTCACGGAAACATGTGCTGGAAAAACAAAGGAGAAGAAGGAAAAATGGAGTCAAGCTTTGACCGATGCTGCAAATATACCTGAACAACACTTCCTTGACAGGTTTCTTCTTTTTCTTGGGGTTTTTATTCTTTCTTTATTCCTATTTGGCAGGGTGATTTTATATATATTCTCTCTTTTTTCTAAGGGACAAGAAAGAGGATCTCATTAAACTGATTGCCAGAGAAGTTTCAGACAAACTACACGATGTTGAAGACATGATGGTGGGTATGAAAGCACACTTGCAGAATATGCTCCATCTGTTACATTATAAAAATGATGATGAGGCTACGATAGTTGGAATTTGTGGCCCTGCAGGCATTGGTAAGACTACCATTGCTATAGCTTTATATAGACGCCTCTCTAGCAGCTTCCAGCATTCTTGCTTTTTGAGGGATGTTAGTAAAAGAGATGATAGGGTTCTTAGCGAGGATCAAAGGAAGATGAGACTGAAAGGGCAAATTATTTCAGTATCTGATCGCAATGATAAGAATTATAAGACATCCCTTTTACTTAAGCCCAAGGAATGGCTATACAAGAAAAAAGTGCTTATCATTCTTGATGATGTGGATGATCCGAAACAACTTGAGGCGTTGGCGAATGAAGCATGGTTTGGTCCTGGAAGTAGGATTGTTGTAACTACACAAAACCAAGAGCTTTTGCAACAACATGGTATTGGTAATATATATCATGTGGGGATTCCATCTGATGGAGAAGCTCTCAATATCTTTTGTAGAAATGCTTTTGGGGAGAGCAGTCCACAAAATGGTTTTCAAAAGCTTGCCGAAAGTGTAATAGAGCTTTGCAGGAAACTTCCCCGGAGTCTATCTGTGGTAGGTTCATTTTTACGTGGGAGGAAGGAAGACGAGTGGAACAAAGTAATGCGCATACTAAAAGCTAATCATGATCACCGAAATATCGAGGAAGTACTAAGAATCCAACAAGAATCATGGTCGTCTAAGAAAAGTAAAAATCGATGGTGCACTACTAGACTGGGCTTTCTCGTCATCATCAATTTGGTATTGGAGATTGCATCAGCGGTTGCAGACCAGCTCTCTTCCATTCGCAGGCCATACTTCGCAATCATCTCCTTATTAATCTCTATTCTCACTGTTGTCCTCTCCATGGTTGACCTCAGATACAAAATCCGAGCCCATAAAGCACGTTTCCGATGCAAGTGGCCCATACCTTGGTTCTACTATCCATCACGTGACTACAAGAAAATCTTTGGAAATTTCACGGATACGGTCTTATTGTTCTGTGTTATTGGTCAGCTACTAGTGTCGACCATCACTTGTATCTCAATCCACAGAGGACAGGAGGGTCCCATCAAAGTATCACTGTGGCCTCTCTTCTTTGCTATCGGTATGGTAATCTCCAAGTTCGTAGAGAACCAAGCCAATTTCAAGGACACTCTACCTATAACAAAAATGCAGTGATGAACTCGGAAGAATAAAGAGAGTAGTCTCTTGAAGATTTCAGATTTCTTGGTTTTAAAGGGCTGTCCACGAGATAATTTTACATGCATGCAGCAAATGCATGTAATTAATATCTTTCAAAAAAAAAAAAAAAAAAAAATCTCTCTTATCTGGTTTCTGTCTTTGTCATATTAGCTTTTGCTTCCGTTAAGCTGCCTGCTGGCTGGCTGTTATTGTAATCACATACTGGTAATCTTTGTCTTTCTTTACATTATCAATCCAAATAATTCAGAGTAAAAAGAGGGCTGTATTGAAAATATCAAGCCCTTGTTCTGTGACATTGTTTGGTGAGATATAATTAGAGAGAATCTGGTGAAAATTGCAATTTTCTTGTATACGAAGGTAGATAAAAATAGAGGAGAAAGTTACCAATACATATAGCGGAAGATCTTGTTTTAATTTTTTTTTTTATATAATCGAGTGTCCTGACCCTACCATGTGGTCCAGACTAGAGACCGATCCTTGCGTGCACGCACATCCGAAGGTGGGTACTAACTAGGTGAACACGATCTTCGGTCTCGGACGCTGGAGGATCCGCATGTAAATCCCCCAATGGCCGGGTTCGAACCTAGGTGGCAGAACTCACAGCCGTGAACCCTTTACCATCTAGACTAGAAGCTCCGGTTCTTGTTTTGGTTTAGTTTATTCAATTATATAACGCCTATACCAATATCAGAGGCGAACATATTTAATAATTCTCTATCAGGTGGACAGTCAGATGAATTTCATCATGAATTTAACAAAATATTTAGCTTCGCTATTAGCGTGCGAAGTGAAACAGAACTTGTTCTATACAGTTCTGGAAGGCAAGATCTGACGCAAATAAGAAATCAAGATTCAAGAGGAAACACAACAATCATTTGAATTTCTCTCTTATCTAGTTTCTGTCTTTGACATATTTACCTTTTCGTTCTGTTAAACAGTATGCTTGTATTCACCTACTGATGATCTTTGTATTTCTGTACATTATCAATCCAAGATTGAAAGAAAGCAAAAAGAGAGAAGATAGACACTTTTGATCATTATTTTTTTTTCTTGTTTATAAAACTATATGATGGAAAGAAACAAAGATATTATCAAACTTTCAAAAAAACGACGATATTTAAGAAAAAGATGCATCTACTTCTAACTAGGCAAATTATAATATTATTTTCAGGTGATTCTTAAGGCTATATTCTTGATTAAACTAATGCTAATCTTTATTGTTTCTTCAATATTAAAACCAGATGAAACTCTGTCCCAAAAAAAAAAACAGATGAAACTATAAAAATTAAGGTTGACGCTTTTGTTTTGGAACTAGTCTTACATTTAAGAAGTTAAAAATTGATGCAAAACAAAGTGAGGATATTACTTGGTTGGAATATCGATGTCAAAACTTCTTTGAAATTAGTTTAGAATATATTTATGTTCTAAAAAAATACGTTGGTTATATAACAAGAAAATAGCACATCACGCGTCACATAAATTCGGGAATACAAATATAAACAAAACTTCATAATCATTGGACTGGATCATAGACGCACAAGTGCTAACAACGAAGTTGGGCAGTAGGGAAATGAGTATTTTAATCTCCAACTATTGAAATCAATCTCCAACTATTTGAAATCAGTATTTTTAAAATCCAAATATTACTTGCGCAAATTTTATTCCAAATTCTTAGTTTACCATACAAAATTAGATATTAAAACAATTAATACATTAATTATTAATCGAAACTTTAAATGCAATTAGATTATAAGGATCAAATTGAATTTCAAAACCTAGAAACAATTCTCTTTACATGATTATTAGTCAGATCAATTACATGTACTTTCGATTACAATCATTCTCTGATTGAAAATACCTTTGATTAGTCTTCAGTCATAATCGCTTTTTCTCACTCATAATCATGTAAATAATTTTTTTTTTGGTAAAAATGTAAATAAAATTGATTTTAGTGTTTGTGGTTTTGAAATCCAAATTTGATCTTTAATCTAATTGCACTTAAGTTTCTATTTAATGATTAATGCTTGACTTTTGTATTTTTAATTTTGCGCAGTCAACATTGACTTTAAAATTAAATTTGTACAAGTGACAATTGGATATCAAAAATGATTATTTAAATAGTTGGAGATGTTAATATCCATTTTTCCAATGATTGTAATGAATATTCTACGATATATTTCGTTTCATGTAAAACAAAATAAAGCAAACATATTAATGCCTCCGTTTTATGCTCTTGCTCCATCACTAGGATAAGATCCGCGCCTTGCGCAGAATGAAGCTATTATTTTTATTATGTTTTGAAAAATGAAACAATAGTTCGGTTTCATTCGGATTAGATGTGTTCAATCTGGATATCAGGTTCTGCGTCGACTCGATTTTTTGGTATTTCGATTATTAAAATATAACTACTATTCTAAATCTATATGTACTTCAGTTTGATTTGGTTTATATACCATCGGTTTTCAGTTTATTCAATTTTATACCAAAAAACATAATTATTTAGTTTGAGATCATATTATATATTATACTAATATATAATATGATCATATTTAGGTCATATTGTCACAGAGTCATTTATTAAAAAAAGATTCAATATATAAATAAAAGAATAAAAAACAAAAAAAGGCTTTTATCATCTAATAAAATGATCAAATCTAGAATTAATATCAAAACACTAAATTTCGAAAATAAAAATAAAAAAAAAGAAGCATGAAATAAAAGTTTTTATATTCTTCCATATTTAGTGTTCATCAAACCAATATGTCTTCGATTGAACACAACTCTGTTTGTTTAAAGATAAAAAAAAGTTGTAAAGAATTTCAACTAATTGTTATCCATCAAATTTATAATATTTACTTCAATTTAGTTACTGTTAAAAAAGCAAAAGATCAAAATAAGAAGTCTTAGTTGTAATAAATTGTTAGCTATTTACAAATTATAATTATAGTTCAACTCATGTAACAAATAGATATTCATGCGTCGTTATAAATATATACATATTTACATGTTTCAGTTTAATCGGTTATAAATCAAACCATATCCAAATCCTATGGTTTTTATAAAATCACATCCATTCGGTTTGTATGGTATATACCAAAAATAAC